GAGCCCGAAAAATCCACGACAACCATTAGATCCCGGCCGTGAAAGCCTTTGCGAATACATTTTTAATAGTTGCTTAAAAATTCCCAGTGAAGGGGCCAGGCAGATTTCGGATTATTCCAGAGCTGAGGAGTGACCACCAAGAAGGCCCAGTTTCTGCTTCTCTCTTTCCAGGCCTCTCTTGGGGTCAATACTCTCAACCGTCCAGCATGGGAAGATCGTATGGGATGAGCAGATCTCACCAGGAGAAGGCATTCTGTCAGGTATCGAGCCCTAAACTGTTTAGGGCTTTATAAGTTAACACCATCACCTTGAAAGTGGGACGGAAATAGACAGGTAACCAGTGGAGGGCAGCCAGAGTGGGTGATGTGTGTTGATGTCTCCTTAGGCCACTCAAAGTGGGTGATGTGTGTTGATGTCTCCTTAGCCCACTCAATAATCTGGCTGCCGTGCTCTGGACCTGCTGAAGTTTCCGTAGCAGCCTCATGGGCAGCCCCACACAAGAGACCATTATGAACCAGTGCATGAACTCCACACAAGAGACCATTATGAACCAGTGCACGAACCAGCATGGCGAGGGACCCAGTGTCAAGGTAGGAACGCAGTTGGGCAATCTGCCTTAGATGGAAATAGGCGGAGTGGACCACAGACCCTATCTGAGGCTCCACTGATAGCGCTGGGTCCCAAGATGAAAACATGACCAGGCTGAGAACCACATCCTTAGCGGAGAGAGCACCTCCCCCCAATGGAGAGGGAGGCACCCAGTCCGCAGACACTAGGGTGCCCCACCTGCAGGATCTCCATCTTGCCCAGGTTGAGCCTCAGTCTACTAACCCTCACCCACCCCAGCACGGCATCTAGGCAGCGCTCAAGAGACAAGACAGTATCCAATGCAGAAGGATGGGAGGAGAGATAGAGCTCGGTGTCATCTGCATATTGGTGACACAAAGCTCCAGAACTCCTGATGACCTCCCTCAGGGACCTGAGCTCCAGAACTCCTGATGACCTCCCCCAGGGACCTGATATAGATATTAAACAACATTGGTGAGATGATTGCCCACGGATTGACTCCACAATTAAAAGTCCAAGGGGCGGACATCATATTAAACAGCATTGGTGAGATGATCGACCACAGAGTGACTCCGCAATTAAAAGTCTAAGGGGTAGACATCGTATCACCAAGCTGTACTCCCTGAGGACAAGGTCAGGCCACCGATGCCCAATCCAGAGAGCCACTCCAGGAGGATACCGTGATCGATTATATCAAAGGCCGCTGATAGGTCGAGGAGTACCAACAAGGGCATTTTGCCCCTGTCAGTCTCCTTCCCTTATTGTTTAGCCTATTTAGCTGGGAGACAGCAGCCTCCAGCAGCCTTAGCTTCCAAGACAGGGTGAGAGAATGAGGGGACAGGAAGGGGTGGGTGAGCGGGGAGGAAGAAAATAGAATGGCACCGACAGAGAGCAAGGAGCAATGTAAATAAATGATCATTTCACGTCTCCTGTTCCTCCACAGAGGATCAAGGGAAGTGCTTAATTGACGGGTTATCGGGCTTCGAGGTGTCATTTGCTGTTAAGATGGGAGAAGCATGCCAAATGGCACATCACAGACCCTTTGAAGCCTGATCCACCCAAAACCCAAAACAGCCAGTCTGGAGAGGCCGTAAGATGATGCTAAATTTCCATTCAGGTTAGTTCATTACAATTAAGTCATTACATGGGAAAGGATTCAGAGGTGGATCCACAAGCAGTACAGAAGCACCTCTTGGGATTCTCATCTCCCTGACATGGGCTGAATACATGAACAAAGCCTTAAACCACACTGCCCTGATCCAATGACAAATTCCAAGTCATTTTTTCCCAGTTTACTCACAGATCTTCTGCATGAATTATTGCTGAATGGAACACAATTCTAAAATCAGGGGCACTCCAAACAAAAAAAAATCATAACTTTGAAACTGGATCAGCACCAAATTGTGTATATATGTAGCAGACAATCTGCACTTGCTCTTTGCCATATTTTGGGGTGTTTGGGCAAAAGGTTTTCAAGTACTGTAATGAATTTTTTTAAAGAGTAAAACTGTTTTACACCGCCACTCCAGCCCCGTGAGGATGCCAGCAACTTTTTTTGTCTGCAGATTTAAAACAGATCAAATACTGTACCTTGAAAAGACCAAGCTACCCTATCTTGAAAAAGAGTGGTTAGTCTTGGTCCCTTTTTAAAAAAATTTGGAAGGAATCTAAGTTTCAGGGGGTAAAATACTGATAGTAGTGAGCAGAAGAGGGTATCCTGTAGACCAGTGGTCCCCAAACTTTTTGGGACCATGAACCGGTTGGTGGGTGCGTGCTCCATGCGCGGGGGGGCGGCGGCACAGACAGGTGTGATAAGGTGAGGTGGATAGCCAGTGAAGGCTTCCTCAGGAAGAACTGTTTATTTCATTTCATTTATTTAAAATACTTTTACTCAGCCTTTCTCCATCTGCAACCTTATCTGGTGTTTCCTCAGCAAGATAAGGTAACACGAACCAGCTTAAATTCCAATTTATTAGGGCATACTTTGAAAAATGTATTACCCTCCCATACCCACCCCATCATTGGAATGCTTCCTGTCGTATCCATCCAAAGGCGCTTATTCTGTTTTTTGTTTCCTTAGGGTGCTTCCAGAGGAAGTGGTTATTCACCCCATCACCCATTCTCCTTCACTGTAATTCACTGTAATCCAGGAGCGCTTTACGTGGCATCGTTCTCTACCTGTGACACTTTCCCCCTGCTTCTCCCACCTTTTTTATTTACTTGGGAAAAGTCTAGTAAGCACAAAAAATGCAACCTGTGGGGGTGCTCTCGCCCAACGATAAAACTGAGCACCTCCACTCAGTCCACAAGCTGCTACTGCGGTGTGCGTAGGAGACACACACACACAAACATCATGGTGCTTCCAAATTAGAGTACCTTCTAACTGCTACTGCAGGGAGCTCTCTAGGTGGAACTGTCTTCTGCGTTTGGGGTGGTAAGGAGAAAAAAAAAGAAAAAGAAAAAAAGTAGTAAGACAATCTGTGGAAACTGACATCATAGGCGGGATATAAATAAAATAAAATAAAATAAAATAAAATAAAATAAAATAAAATAAAATAAAAT